TTCTTTATTATGGTAACTTAATTTAAATCCCTTAACAAGAACCATAATAGGGATCTATAGTAAAAATAGGGTTTCTTTATTATGGTAACTTAAATTAAATCCTTAGACAAGAACCATAAGGGACCTCAACTCTCCCTCCTTCGCCCGGATCCCCTCCACGGCGGCGGTGTAGCCCGAAGCAATCGTGGCGATCACGAAGCCGGAGACCATCACCCAGGCATTCTCCACTTCCTTGTTGAAGCCTTACGCTTCTTCCAGCGGTCCCAGCAAACAAAAAAAACACAGAAACACGATGAACAAAAAAGGCTATAATTGTAACCTTTGGGATCGCACCGTGTGGAAGAGTTTTGGACTATCCGGGCTTGTATATTGCTGCCAAACATGCTCTCATGGTTTTTTGGATATTAAAGTAACCCAAGGAAGGTTAAAGGCTAGTTACTGCAAAACCCCTAAAGGCAACAGAACAAGTTAAAGCTAGCTGAGTGAACTACTAGGAATCTTGACCCTAAACCCTAAACCCTAGTGTACTACTAAGAGTCTTGACCCTAAACCCTAAGCCCGCAACAAACCGCGACTAAGAATCTTGACCCTAAACCCTAAAAAACCGAGACTAAGAATCTTGACCCTAAACCCTAAGCCCGCAAAAAACCGCGACTAAGAATCTTGACCCTAAACCCTAAAACACCGAGACTAAGAATCTTGACCCTAAACCCTAAGCCCGCAAAAAACCGCGACTAAGAATCTTGACCCTAAACCCTAAAACACCGAGACTAAGAATGTTGACCCTAAACCCTAAGCCCTCAAAAACCGATGACCCTAAACCCTAAACCTTAAAACTCGAGACGAAGAGTCTTGACCCCTAAACCCTTAAACAAACCGAGACGAAGAAGCTCTCCCCGAGCCAGTCTGCCAGGATTTCCAGCAGAATTGCACCGGCCAGGTCGAAGTATTCAGCCTGCGGCTCCAAATTTTTCCCGAAGTAGGTCCCTCTTAGGCTTTAGGGTTTAGGGTTATGGTTTAGGGTTTAGGGTTTCCCAGAGACTAACAGCCCTTAATTAAGTTATATACCTTAAAATTATGATAGGAACCCTAATAAGATTTAAGGTATATTCCTTAATTAAGGGATATTGGAGTCTCTGGGTAGGTCCCACTTGGGCTAGCCTGCAGCTCCCACTGGCCCAAAGTAGGTCTCACTTGGGCTTAGGGCTTATAGGGTTTGGAGTTTATCCACTTGGGTTTAGGGTTTAGGGTTTATCCACTTTGGTTAGGGACTTAGGGTTTAGGGTTTATAAGATTTAGAATAGTGTCTAATTTGGGGGTACAACATAGTCATAGATAACCTTAAGCCTCCGAATAGCCCAAAGTAGCTACCATCTTTAAGCTCTAGACCCCAAAGCAAGCCCAACTCCTAAACCCTAAACCCCCAAACCCCAAACCCCAAAACCCCTATACCCTAACCCCTAAACCCTGCACCCCCAACACCCGAAACGGCCCTAAGCCCTAAACCTAAGTAAAGTTCTCAGGTTCAGCCTTCAGGCCATATCCAACATGGCGCATCCCAAGCTCTCGCAACATGGGAACCATCTTTGCCTCGGCTGCTGGGTTTAGGGTTTAGGGTTTATAGGGTTTAGGGTTTAGGAGTTTAGGGCTTAGGGTTTAGGGTTTAGTACATAGCTGTCGGATTTCCGTCACACTATGCATTAGGAACCCAGAAATTCACGAGCGCGAATGTATCTATATCACTTACCACACTGTATCAGGAGAATCCAGAGACAAACAAGGAAAGCAGCATAAACCCTAAACCCTAAACCCTGAACCCTAAACCCTACACCCTAAACAGCATATCATTGAACAGCCCTGGTTGCCGTGTCTTGGAGGCCAGCAACTGCGCTGCCAATAACTTCAATGAATCGGCCCCAGAGCCTCCGCAACGCTGGAGACTCCGACATGTCATCCGTCTCCTAGGTTAGGCTTTAGGGTTTAGGGTGTANNGGGTTTAGGGTTTAGGAACCCCCTTACTAATAAGGGCACCCTTGTTCCTACTATTTGGTTTTGGTAAGGAGATCCCATACCAAAAAGGGCAAAAGGCTACTACTGGGGAACCTAGTCTCTTGTTGGTCTGAATCCCAATTCTTGTAGCGCAGGCGCACGGACATGGGGAAGAGTGCCTTGGCCGAAGGCTCCACTTCAAAGAACTTCTTGTAGAACAGGCCACCAGCAACATCTGTGCCAAGTTCCTTCACCTGGGTTCTTGTTAAGGGATTTAGTTTAAGTTACCATCATAGGGATTTATAGCAAATAGATATTGTGGTCATTTAAATTAAACCCGTTAACAAGAACCCAGTCACTTGCTGCCAACTTCGCTGAACTGCCGTCATGGCCACCAACGACGAATCGACTTTTCGCGGTCCACCGATGCTGGCCCTTAGGGTCGAAGTACCCTGACGCAAAAAAGGATTGTAATGTAGGGGCCTTACTAATTAGAGTAGGGATTTTGGCTCCTTTTGTCGTATGTTTAGAATAAATAAGGAACCCTGAGAGAGAGAAGTATTGGTAATTGCTGACGCTTGTTTAGCAACCTGTTGAATTGTGCCAAAATGAAAAGTCCCTTACACGCTGTTATAAGGTGACCACTCAGCCGCTAAGGTGAAACCCGTTCCATCAAGAATCTCAAAAAGTCCATGCCCACTCTCTCAAACAAGGGCCGAACCCGAAATAACTAGGCTTTCAATCCATACACCAGGTTCCTTTGTGTACCTCCCGTAAAACGGAAGGACCCTAAGGATCCAGGACGTACATACATACATACATACATACATACATACAGACTTTTTCGTTGTGTAAATGTCGATTAGGCTCCATGCTGTTGTGTTATATTTATGTTACATATATATATATACATACTCTCTCTCTCTCTATATATATATATACATTATATATATATACACATTAAAACTGATCTCTCATACTACTATAAAGAGCCCTAACCCCTAAACCCTAAACCCTACTCTCCGCTGCCAGGTGGCCGAAGAGGGGAGGCCGTGGCCAAGAAGTGGTTCGGCTCGCACTCGCACAAATGGCCTTGGGTTTTGGGGGGTTTAGGGCTTTAGGGTTAGGCTTTAGGGTTTGGGGCTTTAGGGCTTTAGGGTTTAGGGCTTTAAGGGGCCTAAGGGGTTTAGGGTTAGGCTTTAAGGTTTGGGGTTTGGGCTTTAGGCTTTAGGGTTTAGGGTTTCGTTTTTTTTTTTGACCCTTTCTCTCGCAAGCAAGGTCGCAGGGTTTGCTCTCAGATGATAGGGTTTAGGGCTTAGGGTCTAGGGGGGCTTAGGGGGTTTAAGGGGGGAAGTATAGGGGATCCTAGCGGTGCTCTGTGAGGGTTTAGGGGTTTGGGGGTCTTCGGGATTTGGGGTTTAGGGTTTAGTGTTTAGGGTTTGGGGTTTAGGGCTAGGGTTTAGGGTCGGGGTTTACTTTTGGGGCTTGGGGTTTGTACATGGTTTCATATTGGGTTCAGGGTATTGTAGTGCCTTTCTCTGAGCCTTCAGTTGCTTGTGATGCAAAAGTAACTAGGTGCGAGTACGATTTGTATGCTTGGAGCCCTGGGGTTAAGTTGAGGGAACTAAAGAGCTTCACCAATGGTACCCTTCAAAAAGTTAAAGGTCACTGACTCTACCAAGTGGCGCTTCAGCTTCACAATGTGCCCCGTTGCCATTCCCACTTCGCGCATGTGTTCCTCACGCATCGCCATGAGCGTCTCGAGGTCCTCAAAACCATGGGTCCGCAATGCTTGGGCATATTGTCCCAAGCCAATCTCACGCAGAAATGCGGTGACCGGGCTTTGCTGAGGGATGCGACCTCTTGGCCCGGTGCTTGTGACGGATCGCACCACCGGCTTCATCTGATTTGACGCTTCCATTTGCATCTCATCCCGGCGAACATTCCTGGCAGTGCCCGGCAGCGGCCTCTCTTGACGGTAGCCAGACATGCGAGCTTCAAGGGTGCCTACGGTTGACTAGAGAGCAATGCTTGGGCCGGAAACAATGCTGCAGAGAGCCATCCAATCGCATCATGGCTGGGTGCATGCTGGATGTGTTCAAGTGCTTTGGGGGACCCAACCTGCAGAAGCTTTCGAGAGTCTAGACTCTATCAGTCTTGTAAGCATCATATAGACATCGCCATGAACCGCTTAGAATCCGGAAACTTGGCTTGCTGCGGATGGATCTAATTAAGACCGATCTTCGACTGAAGCTTCGTCGCCATGTGATCCAAGCATATCAACTCAAGGGGTCCTAAGTACGAATGATAGTAGAATGTAGGGATACTCAGGCTTTTCGGGCTTAGGATTTAAGGAATCACATGGAATCACGATCATGATTTGGGGCAGTATGCCCCCATCTTCATGTAGACTGTTGGGTCTCTATAGAAGGAAGCATTAACAAGGTCTGGGTTCTTTCTCGCCCATGTAGCGTACATAGGACCCTTTGTGGGCAAAGAAGGCCGCGGAGTGACGATGCACCGACCACAGGAGACCCAAAGGGTCCTAGGTACTGTTATGGGGCATACTTCCCCATATCATAATAGTAGTTCCGAATATAGAAACCTTACATTCTACCATGTAGGTACTTCGGACCGTTTGGGAGATGAAAGCCGGAAGACTGCTTCATCTTAGCGCCATGCCATCCTCCCTTGCCACAACATGACAATGACGCCCCATCTTGCTAGCCTTTTTTGCCTCGGAACCCAGAGACTCCAATATCCCTTCAGTAAGGAATATGCCTTAAATCTTTTTAGGCCTCCTATTATAGTTTAAGGTCTATTCCTTAATTAAGGGGTATTGGAGTCTCTGGGAAGGTTCATGTCCAAAACAAGCGCGCCTCCTGATGCTTTCTTTCCCCCTGGACTCCTAATCGCCCAAACATGTAATTACTACTGTTGATGACACAAATCCTGCATGACTGTAGGGACCCTAAGCTATGGGAATTATGGTCTATTCCTTATTCTGAGCAACACAGGATGTATATCATCAACCCTAAACCCTAAACCCTAAACCCTAAAACCCTAAATCCTAATGCCTAAAGCCCTGAACCCTAAACCCTAAACCCTATTTGCAGACTTTAGACCCCAGCTAGGTACGTTTTGTAGACTCGGAGTCTTAGCGCGGCAGGCTTCGAAGAACAGAAGGGTTTTTCAGTTGTGCCTTAAGGATTTAGGGTTTAGGGCTTTAGGGTTTAAGGGTTTCGGGTTTTAGGGGTTTGGGGTTTAGGGTTTTAGGGTTCAGGGTTTTAGGGTTTAGGGTTTCCCTAAACCCTAAAACCTTAAACCCTAAACCCTTTAGGGAAGCCCCCGAAGCCAGGAATGTGCATCCCCTTCCAGCCTCGCCCTCGGTCTGCTTGCGGACAAGGACTTCCAATGGCCCTGCTGCAAGCGTCTGCTTTCCAACCCTATAAGCCCTAAGCCCTAAACCCTAAACCCTAGACCCTAAAACCCTAGACCCTAAACCCTAAAACCCTAAACCCCAAACCTTAAAGCCTAAACCCCAAACCCTAATCCCTAAACCGTGTCTAAGGTTTAGGGTCTGGTGTCCTTGTGCTGTCTCTCGGCTTGCGGTTTCAGAGTTTAGAGCATGCGGCGATGTGGTTACTTAGTCCCTTCGTTGTTAACCCGAAGGGTCCATGTTGGTTGTACCCATACGGTATATACTATATACCTAAAGTACCTACTTAGGGGCTACATGAAAGCCAAAGTATATACTATGTGAGCACATGGACCCCCAGGGTCCCTTGCGGCTCAGAGCTTAGAGCTTCGGATGACTTCTTTCCCGGGTTGCTTCATGTTTCCGCTTTGCGCCTGTAACATCGGGGCCGTAATGATTTCCAATACTATTTGGGGGGGGGTTTCCTTATGTGAATTAAATACAGTACAATATACCCCAGCACTGTACTCCAATTACTCTCAGACTCTGAACCTTAAACCCTAAACCCTAAACCAAAGGGCCCTCAATTCGAAGATACCCTAACTTGAATAACTGCCTCATCACATGCACAACGCGCCTGGATTTGTGAATGAAGCCATCTTCGCACCGTCCAGGCCGACGCCTAGTGTAGAAGTTTTGATTGCAAAATTGGCAGACATAGCTGGTAGTGGTGGTGGTGGCGGTGGTCGCGGTGGTGGTAGTTGCTCCAGCTCCAGCTCCTGCTGCTGCTACTGCTGCAGGCAGCAGGAGATAGTACTCGTAGTCGCCTTGGTGGTGATGGTGGTAGTTACTAGCAAGTAGCTGTCGTTGTGGCGCTAGTAGTAGTATCAGTAGTCGTCGTCGTCTCGTAGCAGCAGTAGTAGCAGTAGCACTAGTAAGAGTAGAAGGCGTAGTAGTGTTCGAGTGAGGACCATGGTACAGCCAGAATTGTACCTTCTTTTAGTACGAGTGATAGCCAGGCATCATAGTCACGGTCTTCGAAGACGTAACTCGGAGACCACTGACCACAATGCCAGCTTTCACACGACGTGGGGCAGAATAGCAGCAGTAGCAACAGCCATACTGCTATTCGCAGTCGTCGGAATACTACAGGAAAGTCGTACATCGTATTGCATGCTGATGCAGTGGTCATGAGTCCGAACACCCGAAATCCCAAGCCGAACTTTTGAAGCATCTGAAGGCTAAAAGTTGAAACCGAATCCGGAACCGAACTACCGTATACTCATGCACTCCGAGCTGTTCGCTTCCAAAGATGTCAGCGATCCTGAGCCAAGGACACGTGACACGTGCTGTCGAAACAACTTGGGTTAAGCCCAGCATCTACGTTTAGGGTTTTGCAATCCTGGGCCTAGATATAACAAGACGTGCTGCTCACTAGCATTACCAGTGGTCCAAGCTCCCATAGTAGTAGCGCAAATGCAAACATCGAGAACCATCATCATGCCATGATCAGAGTATCAGTGAAGCATGTAGTGCTTGCATTAGGGGGTTTCCGAAAATAGTAGGATCCTTATTATAAGAACCCCAAAATAAGGTAACTAATTCTCGGAAAGTCCCATTACTTCTTCCAAGTGCTGGGGCTGCCAAGCAGCGGCTATATCCAACAACAGCAAAAGCAACAACTACAGCCGCAACGACAAACACCCCGGGTCATCAACAACAACAACAACACCAACAACAACAGCAACCACCACCACCACCGCCACCATCACCACCACCACCACCACCAACAACAACAACAACAACCACCACAACAACCACAACAACAACACTAGCACCAACAGCACCAACAGCAACAGCAACAGCAACAGCAACAGCAACAGCAACAGCCACAGCCACAGCCACAGCCACAGCCACAGCCACAGCCGCAGCCACAGCAACTGCAACATCAACAGCGCCAACAACAGCGACAGCAACAGCAACAGCAACAGCAACAGCAACAACTGCAACAACAACCAATACCGCAGCCAAAGCCACAGCCAAAGCCACAACCACAGCAACAACACCACCAACATCAAAGCCAACACCAACACGGACAACTACTTATGCATCTCGGACCCGCACTTGTCATCGTGCCATAAGAAAAGTATAAGCAGCATCTATACCAAGGAGCAACTATGGCAATTAGCTCCTGCTTTAATCATTGTAACCTGGACTTCGAGCTGCTCAACAGAAGGACATTTGGGTCCTATAACTTAAACATTGCATCCTCAACGGTTCCGATAGTAATCAACCCAAAGCCCTGAACGAACAGATTTTCGCGCTTTAGTATGTAAGTAGAACAAGATGTTGGGGTATTTTGTTCCATGAACGCTATTATATGGAGGCTGTATGGGGATCCTGTCGCCAAGGCATTGCCGCCCGAGAGTCTTCGCTTCACGATCCAGGCGAACGAATGCGGGCTTCTCCTGCAAGCAGCGAAGCCGTGCATAAGACTTTCAGGGTTTGGGGTAGAGGTATAAGTTTTGCACGTGTACGAGGGTTGACCGTTTAGGGTGAGACGCTGGATTTCGTGATAAGGCTCTTGAGCCTCGAAATTCTCATCCCCAAACCCTTAAACTCACCTAGGCCCGACATAGTCAATACACCCAAAAAGCCCAATACCCCTCTAGCGTACCATCAAATCAACATATTCAGGCCTCCCCATAGCTTAAGTTATACATTCCTTGGCTAAACTAGATATCGGGCTCCTTGGGAACCCTAAATCAAGCCCACACTCCAGACCAACCCCCAAAAACACAGATAGCCGCGAAACCCCCCTAAAAACCTTAGCGTTTCGATCCGAAACCCTAAACCCCAAGCCAAGAACCCCAAGCCCTAAACCCTAAACCCTAAACCCCCAAACCCTAAAACCCTAAACCACTAAACCCTAAACCCCTAAACCCGAAGCCCTAATCCCCGAAGCCGCCCGCTAAACCCCTCGACTCCTAAACCCTAAGCCCGAAAGCCTAAGCCACCTAACCTACAGCCCTCATCGGAAAATCCGTATACTTCCCTCTTAAACGAACCGCCCCAGGGTTTAGGATACTTCCCTTTCAAAGGAACCACGCCCGAACCCCTGAGCCCTGAGCCTTGATACTTAACCAATCAAGTATTAAGGATCCTGTAAAATAAACCCAAAAAGGAAACTACAATGGCGACTATAGGTATACACCCTAAACCCTAAACCCCAAAAAACCCTAAACCCTACAAACCTAAAAGCCCTAAACCCTATAAACCCTATAAACCCCAATAAACCCATATAAACCCCAATAAACCCTAGAAGCCCTCTACATCCTCAGCCGCAAAACTCTAAAGCTCCGCTGCTCTTTCTCGGGCTCCCGTCCTTGAGCTGGCCCTTCTCCTCAGTGTCCCCGGTTTAGGGTTTAGGGTTTAGGGCACAGGCTTTGGCAGCTTGGGCTTCGGGGTTTTAGGGTTGAGGGGTCTTGGGTCTTAGCCTTTAGGGGTCTAGGGATTTACGGAGCAGGGATTAGGGTTTAGGGTATAAAGGGGTTTAGGGGTTTTGGGTCTGG